GTTCATAAAATACTTTCTAATAGATTTCATGGCTTTGTTAATCCTGCTTATACAATAGAACTAATTTGATAATGACATTACTAATACTTCTCTTTTGATGAAACACTTCAGAAGGTTATCTGCCTACAAGAGCTTACAAGAAACTCACTTCAGAATTAAGGACACAAACAGACTGAAAGAGCAGGAATAGAAAAAATATCCCATGCAAATGGAAAGGAAAAGAAAGCTGGAATAGCTATACTCATATCAGACAAAATAGACTTTATTTTTTTTAAGATTTTATTTATTTATTTGAGAGAGAGAGAGCACATACATGCGAGTCAGGGGAGAAACAGAGGGAGAGGGACAAGCAGACTCTGCACTGAGTGCAGAATCCCACATGGGGCTTGATCCCATGACCCTGAGATCATGACCTACGCCAAAATCAAGAGTCAGATGCTTAACCAACTGAGCCACCCAGGTGCCCCCAAAATAGACTTTAACACAAAGACTATGATAAAAGGCAAAGAAGAGCATTATATAATGATAAAAGTGTCAATCCAGAAAAAAGATATAACATTTTTATGTTAATGTTATGTTTATTTAAGTGCTTTATTAATTTATTATATATGCACCCAACATAGGAGCACCAAAATACATAAAGCAAATATTAACAGAACTAAAGGGAGAAACTGAAAGTAATACAATAATAGCAGAAGACTTTAATATCACATTTTCATCAATGGATAGATTATTCTGACAAAAAAATCCATAAGGAAACATCAGCCTTAAACAACACATTAGACCAGATGGACTTAATAGATATATGCAGAACATACCATCCCAAACTAGCAGAATACACATTCTTCTCAAGTGTACATGGAACATTCTCCAGGACAGATCACACGTTGCACCACAAAAGTCCCAATAAACTCAAGAAAACTGAAATAATATCAAGCATCTTTTCCAACCACAATGATATGGAACTAGAAATCAAATTACAATTAATTAATTATAAATTCCAATTACAAAAAATGGGAAATACAAAAGCATGAAAACTAAACAACATGCTACAAACAACCAATGGGTCATCAGAGAAATCAAAGGAAAAATCCAAAAATAACTAGAGGCAAAGGAAAACAGAAATGCAACATATCAAAATCTATGGAATGCTGCAAAAGTGGTTCTAAGAGGGAAGTTCATAGCAATACAGACCTATCTCAAGAAACAGGAAAAATCTCAAATAAACAATTTAACTTTACACCTAAAGGAACTAAAAAAAATAATAAGGACAAACAAAGCCCAAAATTAGTAGAAGGAAGTAACAAAGATCACAGTGGAAATAAATGAAGTCAAGACTAAAAACGCAACAAAAATGATCAATGAAATTAAGTTCTTTGAAAAAACAAACAAAATTGACAAAACTTTAGCTAAACTAGCCAAGAAAAAAAAGAAAGGAGACTCAAAGAAATAAAATCATAAATGAAAGCGGAGAAGTAACAATTGATCTCAGAGAAATACAAAGGGTAATAAGACACTACTATGATCAATTGCATGCCAAACGAACTCTTAGACATCCTGGAAGAAATAGATAAATTCCTAGAAACATACAGTCTTCTAACACTGAATCAGGAAGAAATAGAAAATCTGAATAGATGAATTACTAATAAGGAAATTGAAACAATAATTGAAAACCTCCCAACAAACAAAAATTCAGGACCAAATAGCTTCACTAGTGAATTCTACCAAACATTCAAAAATTTAATACCTAGTCTCAAACTTTTCAAAAAAAATTGAAGAGGAGGAAAAGCTTCCAAACACATGTTATGGCTAGCATTACCCTGATACCAAAACCAGATAAGGACACCACAAAAAGAAAATTACAGGCCAATACCTTGATACAAAAAGAAAATTACAGGCCAATACCTTGATAAACATAGATGCAAAAATCCTCAACAAAATACCAGCAAATCAAATGCAACAGTACATTAAAAGGATCACATAGCACAATCAAGTAGGATTTATTCCAGGGATTCAAGGATGGTTCAACAACCACAAATCAATCAATGGGATACACCATATTAACAAAATTAAGGATAAAAATAATCTTAACAGATGTAGAAAAAGCATTTGATAATATTCAACATCCATTTATGATAAAAACTCTCAACGAAGTGCATATAGAGGAAACATATCTCAATATTAAGACATATATAACAATCCTACAGCTAACATCATACTCAACCATGAAAATCTAAAAGTTTTTCTTCTAAGATCAGGAACCAGGTAAGAATGCCCCCTCTCACCACATAGTATTGGAAGTACCTACCCAAAACAATTAGGCCAGAAAAAGAAATAAAAGCCATCCAAATCAGAAAGGGAGAAGAAAAACTGTCATTATTTGCAGATGATATAATACTATATATTCATCTAAAACCCTAAAGAAACCACCAAAAAACACTTAGAACAAATAAACGAATGTAGTAAAATTGCAGAGTATAAAATCAATATACAGAAATCTGTGGCATTTCTATACACTAACAACAGAACATCAGAAAGAAATTTTTTTTAATTTTCACATATAATTGCATCAAAAAGAATAAAATATCCAGAAATAACTGTAACCAAGGAAGTGAAAGACCTGCACACTGAAGTATAAGACATTGATGAAAGAAACTGAAGACACAAATAAATGGAAGAATATTTCATGCTCATACATTAGAAGAACGAATATTGTTACAATGTCCATACTACCCAAAGCAATCTACAGATTCAATATACTCCCTATCAAAATACCAATAGCGTTTTTCACAGAACTAGAACAAATAATACTAAAATTTGTATGGAAACACAAAAGAATTTAAATAACCAAAGTAATCTTGAGAAACAAAAACAAAACTGGAGGTATCATACTCCCTGATTTCAAACCATACTATAAAGCTCTAGTAATCATATTTTTTTGGTACAAAAACAGAATACAGATCAATGGAACAGAACTGAGAGCCCAGAAATAAACCCACATATATATGGACAATTAATGTATGACAAAGGAGCCAAGAAGATACAATGGAGAAAGGACAATCTTTTCAATAAATAATTGTAGGAAAACTGAACAGCCACATGCAAAAGAATGAAACTAGACCACTACATTTCACTATACACACAGATTAACTCAAATGGATTTAAAGACTTGACTGTAAGACCTAAAACCACAAAATTCCTATAAGAAAACATAGGCAATATGCTCCTTGACATCAGTCTTAGCGACATCTTTGTGAATCTGACCCCAAAGGCAGGAAAAACAGAAGCAAAAATAAACAAATGGGACTACATCAAGCTAAAAAGCTTCTGCACAACAAAGGAAACCATCTTCAAAATGAAAAGACAACTTACTGAATGAGAGAAGATATTTGTATACCATATATCTGATAAAGGGTTAATATCCAAAATACATAAGGAACTTGTACAATTCAACAACAAAAAAACAAACAACCCAATTTAAAAAAAGGGGCAAAGGCTCTGAATAGACATTTCTCCAGAGAAGACATCCAGATGGCCAGCAGGCACATGAAAAGATGCTCAACATCACTAACCATTATGGAAATGAAAATCACAACCACAATGAGATATTACCTCACACCTGTTAGAATGGCTATTATCAAAAAGACAAGAGATAAACAAGTGTTAGAAAGGGTGTGGAGAGAAGGGAACTCTCATCCACTGTTGGTGGGAGTGTAAATTGGTGCAACCAGTATGGAAAATAGTATACAGATTCCTCAAAAAATGCTACCATATGATTCAGCTATTCTACTTCTGGGTATTTATCTGAAGAATACAAACACTAATTTGAAAAAATATATGCACTTCTATATTCATTGCAGTATTATCTGCAATAGCCAAGATATGGAAACAACCTAAGTGTCTATTGATACGTGAATGGATAAAGATGTGGTATATTTATACAATGGAATATTACTCAGCCATAAAAAAAGAATGAAATCTTGCATTTGTAACAACATGGATGGACCTTGGGGATATTATGCTAAGTGAAATAAGTCAGATGAAGAAAGACACATACCACATGATTTCACTCATATGTGTCGTCTAAAACAAAAAAATGAAATAAAATAAAAACAAACTCAGAGATACAGAGAACAGAGTAGTGGTTGCCAGAGGGGAAGTGGATGGGGGAGGGTGTGTGTGTGTGAAATGGATGAAGAAAGTCAACTCTATGGTGATAGATGGTAACTAGACTTGTGGTGATACTTTGTAGTGTATACAGATGTCGAATTATAAAGCTGTACACATGAAGCTTATTAAACAAACAAATAAATAAAAATATCAGCTGTCTCAAAACTGTATGAATTTGAAAAGGACGAAAATAGCAGTTTCCAAGTCACATGTCAACATGTGTGGCTAACATTGATCTTGTTGCTCTGCTCTGTCTAAATGATTAGTAGTGCAATCTCAGCCAGCTTTTGGAATAAGCCATGGTAGAGAGAATCTTCAAAAACTCAGCTTAAAAATAACAGTGTGGCAAACGATCGCCAGTCTAAAGACCTTGCTTCGCTTCGCCAACAGTAACACTGGATGTGCACAAGTGAAATGGTAAAGAGGGTGAGGGTGGGGAGAAGGAAGTGTAGCTGTTTGGCTTTATAATGATAGAAGGAAAATCCCTCCCAGAGTATGTATATTGTTTGTCTTACTGGATATCACCTTAACTGCTATGACTGCAGATGCTATTAGTTAAAATGCATATTAAGTTATCTGGTCCTTCTTAAAACCTCATCAGACCATTTAACTTCTAAATTTCTATTAGCAACAATTTCTAATGGAAACATCTCAATTTTGGCCTATTGTGAGAGGGTTACAATCGACTTAAAGTGTCTGGAGGAAAGTGGGGTGATCCCATCCCATACCAAGAGACACAAAATGTGCCAAAACTTACACCACCATTTTTCTTGTTGAATTATAAAGTGTGAAACAAATATTAATAGCAATTTCCAAAGGAATAAACTTACTTTCAGTGCAAATAGGACAGCATCCTTTTCTGTTGAGAATTTTACCCTAATCAAGAGGGAAAGAAAAACAAACAAATTTAATGTTAAGAAACAGGGTCTGCTGAGGACAAAACTCTTGTTTTAAATCTAATACCAGCTAAACCAATGAAATCAGTCCAAGCTGTATTTGAACTTGATGCCCAGACAGTGATGATGATGGCAAAAATGAACTTTGAAGTATCAGGTTCTAATTCAGGCAAAGTCATTCAGAAAGCTTTCCTGTTCTTATCCTCTGAGAAATATAATATCCAAGGGGCTCACTGGTGTGATTTTTCTCAAATGGGGGGAAGATGGAGACAGTCTGGATTCAACCTTTTCACTGATATCCAAAGTAGCCCTCTAGAGACAAAGCATACACACATAAAAATGGGAATCATCTGTCAACCTCTCAATTCTGTCTTTGCTTGTCAGAGGGGCCTGTTTCAAACAATAAATCATATCCCAAGCACAGGCCTATGGATATGGACAATTATCTGTGCTACAGAACAAATTCAGTCAGATTTCTTCTTTCAGAAAGTGGTATGCTATCTATGTTAAGTCACGGTTACACAGTCAAAGCCAATGAAGCTGAGGGTTTTGAAATGCTGAGTAATTTTCCATTACCTTTCTGGAAATACAGTGTAATCTCCTATATTCCATTTCTTCTAATTTTTTTTAATGCATGGCATTAAAAGGAGGAAACGTATTCTCAGGGTCCGTATCAGAGAATGTCATTGTCTTGTCTCTGACTCAATGAGACTCACAGAGAAAAAGAAATGTGGTCAATTGCCATTAGCGGTCAACTGCATAAAGAATAGATTTAGGCACTCGAAAAAAAAAATCATAGGGACTTTAAAAATGCTGGTTGATAACTGAAGAACTAGAACCACGCCTCATTCATTTTTGCATCAGCCAGGGCTAAAATGGTACATTAAAGACTATGACAACTTTGAAAGAGGCTTAAAACTCGGGCCCACTCAGCCCTCCCTGGTTTGGGGCATTATGATGTATTTTCATTGCCTAGAGCTCGATTAACTATTTCTATTTGGCACAGAGGCCCCCTTCGGAGTCTTGTGACCGAAAGCAGTTGAAGAAAAGACCAACTGAGGTCGGTTGGGGCCGCTGGAGTGGTGGCCCCAGGGGAGTGCAGTAAAGTGCTCTATCAGGAAGCAGAGCTACTTGAACAAAGGCCCCAACAAAGGCTGACTATATGATTCCCTACATCTGCACCTTGGCAGAAACTGCCATCTCCCTTCTCCTGAAACTGAGTGGAGCTGGTAATCTCACTGAATCACATAAGGAATAAGTCAAGCACAAGCTATGAAGTCTAGGCTCCCAAGTTCTATGTAACTAGCTGTGGAGCTCTGGATACGTTGTGACCTCACTGGTAAGAAGTTGTCTAGCACCCAACTCAGAGGGGTGGTCTCAACATTAAACAGGGTAAGTCCTGCGACCATAGGGAAAGTCGCAGTACGTATCAGTGATGATGAGACGGCAGTGTTATAAACAACCTGTCCCCACTGGAACCCCTCACAGCCCTCTCACCAAAGGCGCTCCTTTTCCTCAGGGCTGGGGATGAGGGAGGGGTTGAGGGAGAGTGGGGTCTGTCAGGGAGGATAGACAGGAAACCCTTCTTCAACAAGGCACACACACTTCTGGAAAAAGAGATGAGTAGCAGTCAGGAAAGATAGAGCAGGGAATAGAGTCTGCTTCTTCAAACACACACACACACACACTTTTTTTAATTTCCCCAGGCAATGCAAGGGAAGGGAAATAAGCATTTAACAGGATTTCCATGGTAGAACTAAGTTATCTTCCAAAGTCCTTGTGCTGGCCCCTGAGGAACAGCTGGAAGGATGCCTAGAAACAGAAACGTGGCCCTTGGGGCAGGAGCCCGGCGGGACAAGCTTCGACAAGACCAGGAGGGGTGAGGTGGGGGAAAGGTCTGCACTTGGAGAGACGGATGCTCCTGGCCCAAATGAGGTCGTCAAAGAGGAGATGCTAATGAGATGCCGCTGACATGAAGAACGTTGACCTCCCCACAGCAAGAGGACAATGAATGAAACCCATCAAGCCTGCCACAAGCCGGGGGACTCCAGTCAAGCTGGAAACCCCACCACGGCCTGCTGAGGCTAGTTACTTGAGCCACCAGGTTGGCACAGCATCCTGTTTTTGTCTTGCAGAATAAGGAAGCCTATTATTACCAACATGTGCTGCCTGAGTTCATTAGCAGTGAGGGTTCCCCAAGGACTGGCATAAATGATGTGGTCCCATTTTTCCCAATGAATATTTATAAGCAGACCATGTTCAAGTCTACTTATTGTATCTCCTTTTTTTTTTCTTTCATGGGAGGTTTTCAGTTTTATGTCTGAGGCTTTTTAAAGCAAGACTAATTAGGGTTGGTTTTTTTTTTTTTCCTTTTTTTTCTCCCCCCTTCATTCAGTTGTGCAATAGCAACAGCTGTTGTTTTTTTCGTGCCTCATTTGGCACTCAAGTAAAAACAGCAACTTTTTGTTTATAATAATAACAGATGTGAATAAAATTAAAAGCTGTCTATAACAGAGAAGGGAGGACATGCCCTGAATATATGGATATATTTTTTTCATTCACTGGAAGGTACTGAATAGGTTTGACATTTTCCCAAAATGCATAAAACCTTGAGAGGTTTCAAGTTGCCGAGGTGAAGTCAATGAAGCTCATGCTTTGGAAGATAATGGCGGCTTTCTTCGGAGTTCTGGAACTGTGCGTTTCTGAAGAGATATTTCCATAGGGGCACTATTTCCATTTGGGGCTACGACGGAGGCCAGGGTTAGGGAAGGAAAATGCAGCAAAGGGGTCGGGGGTGCTGCTAAGCCGCCAGAGAAACCTCTCGAGGAGTTTATTACTAAACGGCTACATACTACTTTGAAAGACTAAGGGAAGAAATCCCTAATTTGAGAAGAGAGAAAGAGAAGAGAAAAATGGGAGGGCTGTTCAATGGAAAACCCAACAAAAGGAACAAGAGAGCAGATCTAACAGGAGTTGGAGACATTGAAACAAAGAAGTGGGAAAAGTCAATGAGGAATAGGAGATTTGGGACAAGTGAAAGGTTAAGAGCTATTTTCATGCGAGACTAGAATCTGGGTGGAAAGTGCAAAAAAGGAGTGAGCCTTGCAAAGGGGGTTGTGGCTGTCCAGGAACCTGGAAGTATCAGTGGATCTGGATTCTGTGTTCAGAAGATGGCATGTGACCATGCCACATGTAGGGTGTTTCCCAAGACCTTAAGGTAAAGAAAAAAACCAACCTGCATTCCAGACATACCTGCGGGCAGCTGCTGACGGGAACACACTGCTTCTTTCGACACTCTGTCTTGCCTTTCACACAAGCACAGATGGTGCAGTTAACAGAGGACCACATCTCTCCATCCTACAGGAGAGAGCACAGGATTCTGCTATCAGCTGGAGGCTGATGGGAGCTAATCCAACAGGCTGGGATTTCTCTGCCAAGGAGAGCATTTCTTACCCTGAGTGAGGGATCCATCATCAGACTAAATTACCCTGAGATGTCTCTGCGATTGGAGGGTGTGTGTGTGCGTGTGTGCGTGCACGCGCGTGTGTGTGTGCGTGTGTGTGTGTGTGTGTGTGTGCCCTCTCCAGGATAGAAAAAGAATTCTTGTGCATCTAACCAAATCATATTTGCATCTTGCTCCTCCTGCATTGTTTACTTAGCTTCACCCTGGAAGACAAACATGAGTTTTCATACATGATGCAGTAGCAAAGCTCTCATTTTCCTGTTTGATAGAACTGAAATGTTTAAGCTGTCCCAGACACCAACGGTTGAGATGTACAAAAGTGGTTAGTTTGTTCCCAGACGTGACATGGTTCTGGACCACATAGGACATGAACATGCAAAGAACAGAGGCTAATTCAAAGGACTCTCATTGCCCAGGCAGACACCTGATCAGCAAGCCATCCAAATATGTGGAGCCCAGACAGAATACTCCAAGATAACGTGTCCCTGCCTGTCAGATCCTCTGCTCCCAAAAAGCTGGTTAGCACCTTGGAACACATTTTCTAACCCAGAGAGGGCTTTTTGAGGAATATTTTTGGCTCACCGAATTTATGATATGCAATTGCCAAATACCCAGCCACAAGAAGCCCCGTTCCTCTAGAGAATGTGCAGGGACGCACGGCCCAGCTTGGGGAAAAGTAGATTACATGCACGAGAGATGGGTCTGAAAACAACAAGGATTCCTTCCTGGGTTTATAAATATAAGCAGCGAGTTTTGTTAAAAACAGAGAAACTAGCTCAGATTTTGATGATGACTGCTCCTTTTCCTCTTCCTTCTCATTTTTTGAAGCTATATTAAGGACTACTAGAGCCTTTTATTTCTCAGGAGAGAAAGAACTAACTGAATCTGTCTTAAAGGGCATCTGACTAGTCCAAATTCTCTGAGTACACATTTCTAGGACTTGGTGTTTCAAAGATGACTCTCTGCAAATTATTTTAAGCCTCATCACATAAAGGAACCTTTGTATCCAGGGCCTTGAAAGCACTTTGCACACAATACCGGCATGGGAGGGAGTCTATTGCATCCAGGTGCTCGGGAAATGGAGGATGACTTTATGTTAAAGGGACACATGAGTGGCTCTGAGAGGCTGGTGTAAATACAACACACACACGACCCCCTTCCTTTGGGCATGACCCATCATGTCTTCTTACTGATTGCATAGGAATCAAGACTCTCCCTCCAACTCTGTCAATGTAAAAGGAAATCTGGCTAAGTGCAGGATGAGGAGCTTCCACGTCTGACTTGATTCTGTAGTTCTCGGTCTCAGGAATGTCCTGAGGTGGCACCTTCAGGTACAGAAAGACTCCCTCCACCCAACAGACCAGATAGAAAGCCCTTTGGACAAAGAAAACAATCTTCATTCTGATGTTTACATGGTCACTGCCCAACTGTGCTAACAGAGAACTACGGGTAGCAGTTGACGAGTAGCAGACGGTCAGTGGCCAACCCTGGTGGCTCAGTTGGGGCAAGGCTCTCTCACCTTTGCTCAGCAGCTGCGCTGGCTTCAACATCCTCACCTGAGCATCTTCCAAGTGAGAAAAGTCTCTCTTTGAAAAAGAAGCTTTGTAAAAAATTCTAAAAGTATTAAGCTATAGAACCATCAGGATCTTGGAAAGGGATACTGAGCATCTCTAACTGAATGAGATGCCCCCAGTCATTAGGGCACCCAGAACAGCACCGTCTTCAGCTCAATCCCAGTCACTGGCCCTGCACATGTGGTGATCATGTTTCACAGGCTTAAAATACTTTGTAAAGCAAAAATAAAGCCCAAAAAAACCATTTTTCCAAACAGTTGCTTCTCTGCCCCACGTGTATTTGATCTTAAATATATGTATATATAATATTGCGATATAAATAATTACATTTGCATACACACACACACGACATATGTGTCTACAAAATATGGATTACTCTGGTCTGCCTTTTGTCTGGAGCTTTCTACATTCCCGTATAGTATAGTGGTTCCCAGGCGCTTGGCTTGTGACATACCCGGAAAATCTTGTTGCCAAACTTGCACACCTTGATGTCCTCCGGAGGCATGCGCAGGAGGCACTCTTCACAACACATCTCCTCCCCTCTGATGCAGCCACCAGGGTGGGAGCACTTCTTCTTACACACCACGGTGGAGTCCTGGGGGCCCAAGGGCAAACCAGAAATTAAAAATGTTTTCCATCTCTACCAAACATCCCACCTGACCTGCCTTTTAACAACCTACAACTAACTGCTTTAAAACATATTCTGAAGATATCACACTGTAACTTGTTGCAATAAATCTCTCTTTCCCTTCAAAATGTTATTTGTTGATGAGGTATCTGGATAAGAAGATGAAGAAGCTATGAGAAGTGTGATATACCTTCGCTACCTTCCAAGTGTCTACAACTTAATGTTCAAGAAACTTCTGGTTCCACTCCAGCCAGCGTGTGGCTCACCAGTTTCCTTCTTCCTGCCCTTTTCCTCTTGCACGTCCTTCATGAACTTTGCTCTCTCGGGTCTCCTCCAGGGCTTTATGCCACCTTCAGGGAGTTTAGCATAAAGGCATGGTATCTAATCAAAAAGTAAACATTAGGAGCTACTGTTCCTCCTCAAGATGAAATTCCTTAGTGTGTTCTATGTTCACAGAAGAACTGAACGAGCAAGTCCAAAACTGGGCCTGGGCTCTAGGGCTCCTCCATAAAGTATGTAACCTTCATCAGGCCACTTACCCCCTGGGAGTGACGAGTTTATATCTGTAACTTTAAAAGGTATGGCTTGCTTTCTAAAGAAGTGGCATCGCGGGTGCCTGGGTGGCTCAGTTGGTTAAGCGACTGCCTTCGGCTCAGGTCATGATCCTGGAGTCCCGGGATCGAGTCCCGCATCGGGCTCCCTG